CCTGTCACTCCTGCATCTTGTAGAGGAATTTGACGATTCCTCAAGTCTCGCCGCATGCATTTGGAGATCTGTCTGTTCAGTTGCCTGTATGATGTCAAATCTGTTGACGATTGCGGCCTCATCTTCCGTCTAACAGCCATGAGATTAAGAGAGTGATCGGAGAGGTTTTGTGTTCTTCTGCGGCGGATCTTGCAAAACTTAGCTCCGACCGCATGGACAGTTTCTACGAGCTTGTCATTCATATCGTCCACTGCATTGCAATCTTCTAGGTCTTCACTGAAAGCGGTTACGTAACTCGAGCTGAAAGGTTTCGGGATTCTGGATTAGAGCACGAGGGGGACGGAACGTTGACTTCATTAGACGAGACCTCGCCAACTTAACGTTTAGATTCAGTGTGCCTCTAACCATTCGGTGATCGCTGCCAGTTTTCACCCTTACGATCACTGAGACATCACTGAACGGTTGGCGTCTGGTCGTCATAATGAAGTCAATCTCATTTTTTGTCGAACCGTCTCTAACGGTCAGAAGTACGGTCTCGCGAACCGGAAATTGCCGTATTACAAGTACTTGCCGGAAGCAGTGCTCGAAAATGACCGCGACAGGCTCTACTGGGACCGGGCCATCATCACAGACAAGACTATTCTTGCAAATAATCCTGATATTGTGCTGATGGAACGGGCGTAGTCAAGGATATTTTTGATCGATATTACCATTCCGCATGACGAAAATCTCGTGAAAGCCGAAACAGATAAGCGATCAAAATATCTGCACTTGGCTCACGAGGTGACCGACATGTGGGGTGGTCTACCGACCGAAATTATTCCTGTAGTCGTCTCTGCAAACGTGTTAATCCCAGCCAGCCTCCCGGGTCATCTGAGGCGGTTGGGACTCCGTGACGGACCGCTCCGGGCTCAAAACCAGAAGGCGGTGCTCCTCGATACCGCCCGCACCGTCCGACGATTTCTTTCCCTTTCCCCCTAACTCTCGGCCGTTTGGTCTCCGGCTTTTATTTATTTATGTATTATGTATTTATTATGTTAGTAATTAGTACCTATATTAAATATATATTTTTGTATAATTATCATTTCCTTTTATATACATATTTATTTAGCTCAACCAGATGTGAATTATCTATCAATAACCCCCATAATAAAAATAATAATCTTACCTTGGTCAAGTATGTATCAAATTTAGTTTTTAGAATATTTTGTAAGCATTTCTACAGCGATCGATATTTTTCATCACGAGCCGCTGTAAACAAACGATACCTACACTCTACTAATATTAATCAAAATAAAATTAAACAGCCACTATAGGTACATTCCATGGCTTCCCGTATAATAGAAAAATTAGATTGAGTTGAACAATTGAAATTTTCAAAAGTTACTGTATGTGGACGTGATAAATACACCATAAGCCACTAAAACCACTTTTTTAATGTAAAAATAGCAATTAATCGTTTTAAGAAAAAAGAAAAAAACCAATAAGTTCTAGAATCATTCATCTTTTTGAAAATGTGATTTTTATATAATTTGTATGTTCAATATGATTGTTAGATACGATTTCATGCGACAAAACGTTTGATTCTTGATTTTTAGGCGCTAGTACAACATACCTACCTAAGCGCTTCGCGCTTAAGGCATGCAAGAAGGTATGAAAACACTTCAGTAGCCCCATATACAGTAGAGGGTCATTGAAGTGAGACTTGGGACACTTGTACGTATCGTGTCCTAATGGATTAAACATGGCAGGTCTTGACTCGTCGCTTACTGAACGGGGACATAACAGCAGCAGCGACGCGCAACATTGGTATCTATTAACTTAGAGTGTAGAGAGTTTAGTCTGAGAGCTAAAGATCTATATACAATTAGGTATTCCTCCGGCGTTATGACATTACACTACTTTTTACATACTTACTTTTTCACTATACTTCCATCTTTCAAGCGTAAAGCTCTCCACCGACAAAGGCCAAAATCCAAATGCAGGAAATCATAAACTCCCCGAAAGAACTCGAATTGTCCGTTGTGTCGCTACCACTCATCGTGAAGTCCACGTAATACCAACCTCACCTGGCCGTAGTGTACTACCTAGTTGGGTGAGGACGAATAAGAGCAGCGTAATTCCTGGCATTCTCAAATATCTACGAGTTGTATATTCTCAAATTGGTCATTGCATTATATAATATTACAAAATGTAGTATATTATAAATTGTAATATATTTTTAGATAAAATTAAAATTACTTATATTTTTGAAATGAAACTTATTTAGTATCATTGTGATATGAAATTCGATGAAACGAAAAAGCGACATTACAACGAGACAAATATAAACATCTATAGAGGATTTAGCCTGCGAGAGAATGAGATAGAATACAATGTAATGAGCTACAGTATCCTAATAGCAGGGTGCGGACCGCGAGCTCGAAAGGTTGTGGGTTCGAATCTGCTATTTGACTACTATCGTTAATCGTCTTAACACAAGCATTTTCAGCTTACCAGTAGTGTTTAAAGGGAATAATAATAATAATGACAGCATTGCTTGTATTTAAAAAATACAGTGTTTCCTACTATCTCGGTCTACTCTTTGCAGGACTTTAAGGGTTAGAATATTTTTTTTAAATAAAAATTAACAAAATTATTAAATGAATAAAATTAACCAAATTTTAATAAAATTATCTTATCCAATCTATTAATAACAAACCACGATTTCATAACTTCGCGCCATCTAGCGTCTATTTTACGTAACGCCTTGAGATTCAATAAATTTTTGTTCGATAAAATTACTTCACCTACAGAATGACGTCGATGGCGCTATTACAAAGCGATTTTACTTAGAATTAAAAGAAATAGGTGTAGAATGAAGTGTAAATTAATTTTTAAACTTTATAACAATATTATAATAAATAAGCCCTACAGCTTCTACTCGTGATGCATTCATCTAATTCTCTCGAAGTTTAGTTTTCTGAAGGTTTCTACGGCTTCTACCGCGTGTGAACTGCACATACGTTTTTTTGTTACACCTTTTAATTACATTGCAGGTTTTATACGTGGTAGAGCCATGCTGCAGTTATATTGGGAGTATAGTTGTAGCACGAATGGGTCAGCTCGACCGGGGAAGGACCACGCTCTCACAGAATACCAGCGTCAAATAGTAGCTTAATGCTGCTGTGTTTCGTATGGTGAGTGTAGAGCACCGGAGACCCTTTTTACTGGAAACGAGGCATTCCATCTTAGTCCTCATGGGTGGCATTTTGATTCGTAATCTAGGATAGATGTAGATGTCTATGGGCCACAGCAACCACTTGCTATTTACTACTTTATTATTTTCCTATTATAAAAATCTTTATACACTTCGGAAATGTGCTTAAAGTACTAGGTGGTGGAGACGATATTCTATCAAACTGTCAGTCTCAGTAAATACCACCTTTTTCTCTATTTACGAAAAACAGTAGTATATCCATCTAGTATATCAATATTTTCGGATTGAAAGTATAATACTCTTCGTAGACTAAGAGGCATTTCACCATAGTCCTAAGAAGTGACAAAGCCCCCATGTACTGTGTTCTTTGTTCGAAGACTAATGCTAAATGCACCAAGCATTAGTGCCGTAATAAACATAATTAGGTACTAGGAAATAAAAACTCTCTTGATAAAAATTAATGATTTATTTAAAAAGAAACAGACTTACAAATATAAATTTATCCAAATCTTGGAAAAATAATCCAATAGCTTTTTGCTTGAAAGTCACATAAACAATTATCTTTATTTAGATATGTTTATTGTCTTATTCCATTATAATACAAATGGTAATATGGCATAAAAAGCTGTAACTGTTCTAGCAAATCACTAAACGTATAATAATAACGAAGTTTACTAATATTAGAAAATTTCTAATTTTTGGTAATAAATTTATCTATTATTTGTTTTAAAATATGTTACTACTGACTGTACATTAAATATAAATGAATATGTAAGGTTATTTATATAATTTAAATGAAATTGGTTTTAGAGACAAGGTATTTTTTTCTTAAAACAATTTAGATGAAATTTTGTATTTAGATAATAATTTACTTTCAAGTTTATCTTGACAGTGACAGCCCTAAAATAAATTAGGTCGCCTAGGTTTGGCCTAGGTAATAAATATTACTTAGTAGTCTGTGCTTAGCGTGAGAGTCTCAAATTAATTTCAACTGAAAGATCTGGAAGTATATTTGCAAACATTATACGAATTTTTGAGATACTGGACAAAGTTACATAAAATTTTTAATTTAGTTTCTGAATTAAAGTTCTTCTTAATAGATTCCCTTATTTTTTAATCTTAAAATACTTAATGATTACGATATAAAAATAGGGTATTTATTTACGGTTCAGAACATTAATGAAGCGTCAAAAAATTCCTTAAAGTACAAGATTACTTATACAAATCAGAAGCTGCATTTTGAGATCGTGCTTTATTTGCACACTAAACTCATGTACAATCTTATGAACTAAACTTTCCACGTCAACCTCTACAGAATCTAGTAACTGCTTTAACAATATTCTAAATTATAAAAATATATCATTAAAATCATCAATCAACCATTCAAATACTAAATATTGTAGTAAAGTGAATTTCTATTGCCTAATAAATATCGTATTTCTTCTCACTTTTCAATACTTATATCAATATTTTTAAAGCCTATAAAATGGTATATTATTTATGTTCGATTTTTATAACGTTTTTGTAAATTATATTAAACCAAGATGTTCCATTTTGCTCGCATACATAAGATAAACCCGCTGTCATAAAATCTTTCTTAAAAAGACTTATTTTATTACACTGACACAATAAACAGCGTTCTTGAGATACCCCATCAAATGTTTAATCAATGTGCTTATGATGTTGTGATCAGATGATGTGGTCATAATAGGAGTGAACAGTGCTTGAAGTTGCTGGTGGAGGAGCTGGTGTTGATGCCAGGGATGTAGACGGTCCTACAGGTGGTAGTGGCGTGGGAGGTTTACGATCCGGGGGTAGGGCTGGTAACGCCGAAGACAAATGATGCCCAAAACTGCTCAAGCCGCTGATTGAAGAGGTCCCAATTGAGCCGCCAGATAGCATTTGTTGATGCATGCCTCGCATACCCGCGAACATCGGCGCCGTACCTTAACACAAAAAAATAAGTTGTTATATTTCATGACAACGGAACTTGGTGAGTGTGGTTTTATTTGTACATTCGCAAAATAAAGCTTTATGAAAGTTTAATTGTAAGACAATACAAATAATCATTATTACGTAAAATTACGACTCAGCGTAACTGCTGATCGCATTAAATAAATGTTACATTTTAATATATTTTTGTCATTTTTTTTAAAGTGGTTTCCGTTTTATGAAAAAGTATTTTACACAGGGAAAGTTTTTAAATGTCTCATAGTACAAAACTTAAAATTGAAGTTGCCTTTCCCTCAGTACTTAGTTGACCTTTTCAATGCACATGGGAAGCGATACAGACCTGGTAACAAATTTTGCTCGTAACCAATTTTAAGAAAGCAAAATGCTTAAGGCTAAAATTGGCTTTAAATTAGTTATCCAAGTTTTATTTCCTATAAAAGAGTTAAAAATACAGTCACTCTACCTGATGGTAAGAAGATGGTATCGCTCCTATACCTTTAAAACTATTTTCCATAAAGCAGACGGCTATCACGCAAGAACAGATTCTGAAACGGTTCCCCAAAATATTGTAAAACTATAATAGTTATAATCCTTCGTAGCTATAATCCTATTTCCTGAATGTAGGTATTATCACCGATGTTTTCCTCAATATTATTAAATATTTTTACATAATCTTTGTTTTATAATATTTTTAAACGTATGGGTAAAGTGGTATAATAATATGATACTTGGGTATATAACACAGTACATGTTTGTTGTTGTTGGCGGGAACATTTTGCGCCCTAAATATTTTAGTAGTTCTAGAAAACTCCTATAAATAGAAGTTATCGTTGAAAAAGAAGAGGTCCCAAGTGGTAGTAGAAGATATTCAAGAATGAAAGCTATGCAGACTATATCTCAATTAAAATATTGTATACAAGTGTTCGTAACACAAAATAATTATATACTAGTAATCAATTAAGTATTGAGGTTGAAGTCACAGCCTGTATACTCTGCTGGGCACAGACAGGCTTGAAAGTTCCCACCACGCTGCCCAAATACGTCCAGTATATGTCTTAGAAATAGTATTTTTGTCAGGCTGGTTTCTACACGATGTTTTCCTTCACCGCTGAGCATGTGGGCAATCAGCACTTCTCACCATATGAAACACAGTAGTATTAAGCTGCTATTTTACGCTGGTATTCTGAGATCGTGGTCTTTCCCCGGTTGGGGCGACCCGTTCGTGCTACAATAATATATAATAATGCAGCGACACTCTACCACGTAAAATCCCGAACTATAATAGCTCTTCTGACTATTATTATGTGGTTTTTACGATTTATAATAACAAATTGTGAAGGACAGAGGATAATAACTTGTGTTTAGGGACGAGGGCCTGTCTTAGCTTTTATGAAATCCGTACTATTTTTCTCCACTCAAATCCACGGTGAATTCTTGAAAAGTATATCATTGAGAGGTTTCACGAACCAAGACAGTATCTTTAACAGTCTTCCTAACTTTAAAATGTGTTATAGGACAGGGAAAGGGTTAATTATGCCACCAACTAGTCGCGACGCTTTTTTAAACCTGTGAGCATACATTTAGTCATTTTATTTGCTTTTTTTTTTACTAGTAGTGCTTGTAAAAGCTATAACTTTTTTAAATATAAAAATGTCTAAAATAAAAAATGTTCCCTTATATCTAAGTATAACTGCACGCGGTACAATGCTAATGTACTGTACAATGCTATAATAAAACTAATAGCAGCCACAATTGTGATCAATTCAAAATCATTGATCACAAGACTAAATCCACATGCGCGACGCCGTCGTTGTCCTACAAAAATGCCCAATCGTTCTGCTTTTGCTGTAAAAAGAGATCTGCCAAGTCAAATTTACAAAAAGATGGCATTACTTTTCATATACATTCTAAGTAATTTTAATCACATTATTGCTATTTACTTCTTTTTAGACTTAAAAACCGAGTAGTGGCGGTGTTAGAATATCCACTACCCCATATCGTCTCAAGGGTGTCGTAAGAGGTCACAGAGGCAACATGAAACAGCAGATGGGCAGCGGCATCTCCCTGATAACAACTCAAAATAATAGGAAAACGGCGGTTGCCAACCCGCTTGCCAATGGCAAAATCCCTCCCCATGGCAAAATTACCCCTATGAGGGAGGCCTATGCCCAGCAGTCCACTGCTGAACATAGGCTTCCCTCAGGCCTTTAGGCTGCGATAGATTGATGGATGGAAACTGAAAAATACAATTATAACGGTCGTGTTGTTTGGGATTTCTTTACCAACACAGGCGCCGCTCGTATTGGCTCGTACAACATGTAGATCAGTCGAGCAACAGATCCGAGTTGTCTCTGCACCGAGTGATACTATTATAATGTGTGTGTCAAGTTGTTAGTTTATTGTTTCCTCGCAAAACAATGACAGTCAGTTCTTTATCATGGAAAAACTCTATGGCTAATAACGTTAATTTTGTATTTGAATTCAGAAAAATATTTTTTTAAGTTGTAACATTATTTATGGCTAGATTAGTTTAAGTTTTTAAACTCTATTTTGCGTGCGACTATTTTAGTGTGACTGCCTCGTTGGTCTAGTGGTTGTAGTAGTACGACTGCCGATCATGAGGTCCTGGGTTCGAATCCCGGGCCGGTCCAAAAAATCAATTATTGAGTTTTTCTGTCAAGAATTTCTCATTAGCTGCCCGGAGTCAGGAAGTTGGCGGTGTCTCACCCCCGTGCCTCGGAAAGCACGTAAAGCTATTGGTCCTGCGCCTGATCTCTCTCCGGTCGTGTCGGCTTAGCGTCCCATCGGATTATGAGAGTGAGGGAATAGAGAGTGCACCTGTGCTTGCGCATACACTTGGGCACTATAATCCTGTCCTGCGCCGGTGGCTAGCCTCCTTTGAGGCAGGCCGCCGTGGCCGAAATTCGGTCTGGAGGACATTATTATACATAATGTATGTATTTACTTAGTAAATATTGCTTTAATTATGATATATAAATATAAAATCGCTTATAATATATATCAAGCGGTGGAACCACATCTCTACACTCGCCGCACAATACACAGAAACAGAACACCCGTAAAATGCAACTGTTTCGTGTGGTGAGTGTGGAGAAGCGGAAACCTTTTTACTGGCAATGACGTATTACATCTTCCATGCTTTCAGTAATTCTCATTCTTAGTCGTAGATAAATGTCTATGGGCCACAGCATCCTGTGATCATCAGGTGGGCTATTTGCTTGCTTGTCACTCGTATTCTATAAAAAATGTATTATCTCTAAAAATTTATGTAATAATATGTATAAATGTTAGGTAAAATAATTTTCCGCGAAATCAAAGTACATGGCGAAATAAAGCTCGCTCAATGAGCCGGCTTGTATACGGTGCATGACTGACAATACGTTGAATTATGTAGCGGCCACGTAAAGTTATAAGCCTAGCTACATGTTTCACATTAAATTCGTAGCTGCTAGCTATAATTGCACGCCTAACGCGTTCCCATCGATCGCGGCTCGGCTGTTGCTCGTCCGTTGTCGGCCACGTGCAACACTCTAGTAACTAATAGCCGTAATTTAAACAAACCTCCCATTTGGACGATTTTAGGAATAAAATCTTACTGGGAGCTTCTATTTTCTCAGAATTTTAACACGTGTTAGGTACTTGGCCTGTCGAGAAATAATAATTTCATGAACGCTGCTCGCCGGCTATGTTTGAAAAGTCTTTGATGGAAATAAGAAATTGTTTCAAAGTAAATAACAGAAAGCTACCGCCTTCTACATTCTAAATCTAATGCGGCAAATGTAGAAATTCTCTCGATATATTACTTACAATTTGGTGATCGAAAATTAAAGTGTGCACTCAGTAAACCCGCTCGCTCTCTGGTACATGTCATCACTTTTTAGATCGTAGATCAAGTCGAGGGCTTTGTCGATAGGATAAATGGCTCTCAAGTTGGGAGGCGACGAATGACGCGTGCCGGGGCCGCTCGTAACCGATTACGTTACTTCCACCGTTTAACTATGGATTTATAGTTTTTAAAGTGGTGCGCTTACAGGTAAGGTGGGAAACACTCCAGGAACGTATTTATTCAGAAGCACGCCCAAGTAAAAAAAATATAAAAATAATTCGCATAAATCGCATAGCAAATATATGAATGAAAATGCGGTACACTTTTTTGTTCCAAATGATCGCCAGCGAGTTATGTGAATCCTGAATGCCGGTTATTTTGTGATGCACGTGGCAGTCAAATATTAAAATTTGTGACTGCCACGTCACTGTGGCAATAAAAAGCAGATAATTCATTTTATATTCATGTTATGTTTACCTAATAAATTATTTTACGACGACGAGCCGGATCAAATGATAGTTTCATTTCCGATATATTTCTTTGCAGTGAAAACGTTACAATGCGGTGGTCTGATTCGGTTAATTTGGCATTAAGGATTCACGAGGACGCAATATTCCAGAAAAATAAAATATCCCTGAGAGTCGTGCATAATATACTAAGGGCTTAAAAATACATTTCTAAATATGATTTTAGAAGTTACTTTCTTATATATTTAACACGACAACATGAGAGTGTGATAGATAAAAACAATTCACTGTTTTAATTCGCTTCGTGTTCAATCAGTTATAAAAACAATGGTACCTGTTTGTAAGAAATCGTCGATCAGACCAATATTTCAGGTCACGGACGATGTTAAAATTTGATGATAAACTGGTATTGCGCCTTCGATCCACCCTAGATGAAGCAAAATAATTTTTATTCTTTATCAATAAAATCAACATCATATTTAAAAAAATGCTTAAAATATTTAAGACAAAATGTACTGTACAGTGAAACACTTTATGTTTCAAAGTTAAACTACTAAATTAATTTTGATGTTTCATAATATTATTAATTAGTGATTTGAGTTTTTAATGCGTTTCGCATCTTCAAAGGTTGCGTAAATCTGATAGCATTTAGTTGAAAAGGCTAGTATAAACAAAGATCAAGGGTTGACGGGACGGGCAAAAGGGGTGCACTGTGATCATCTGTTGCGTCGGCGCCGAAGATTAGTAACGTTTTTTTTATGTATTTACAGTAGTTGCGTGCGGGATTTCAGCCTGTCGTGTTAGAACAGTGCACGAAGCTCAAACCGGACCGCACACATCGCGTTAAAACTGTTAAATGCATCGATCTCAGTGTCAATTACACAAACTATTTTTAACGTGTTTAGAACGGTTTCTAAATTGAACCCGATATTGCGACGCATGCTCGCGTTGTTTAGTCTTCTTGTTCGGAAGGATTATTGTCGGTCAATTGTTGCAGTATCATACACAAATAAGGTCATAATTACTTGTTATGATTAATTCTTTCATCATCATCATTATAACATGCACAGCCTATACACAGGCCTCCCCCATGGAATGCCACAAAACAGTACTCAGCCACCTGCATCTATCAACTTACTGCATGTCTTACCAGGTCATTACTTCATCTATTGGGGGCCTACCTTGCACCGGCGCGAGGCCTCGACTGGGCGGCAACGAGCTCTAACCGAAATAACTATAACTATGAGATATATCTTTTAGTTTCCCATACATTAATGATTTAGTAAATACCGTATTAATTTACATGGTCATACCATAATTAAGAGTCAATCTACTAGATGTTATACGTTGTACTCTTCCATGTAATTTAATTGACAGAAAATTCCTAACAATATTGATAGTGAAGCACCACTTATTACATCTATTTATTGTAATAAATGGTGTACTTATATTATTTTTATTTATAACTAGTTAGTCTCAGGTCCATCAAAAGCCCACTTGGTTGGTTTGCTTTCAAAATGCACCCGAATTGTATTCATGACATTATAACATACATATTATATGATTTCAAAATGTAAAAACACCGTTATCATATTATCTTCTCTATATATAAAAATCAATTGCTGTCGATTAGTCTCGTAAAAACTCTACAATGGCTCGACCGATTTGGATGAATTTTTTGTGTGTATTTGTGTGAGTCCCTTGACGGAAAAACCTTGAAAAACTGAATTGGAACCGGTAGATGGCGCTGTTGTAGAGATCCAGAAATCACCCGTACAAAGCCGGGGCGGTTCACTAGTATAGAATATAATAGAATCATTCATTTTTTCAATATATATTACAAGAAAAGATATTATACCTATCTATATTTATTGAATTACATTTACGGAGTTTTGGCGATATCTTGGCCGTAGACGGATTGTCGCTCCTGTTTTGTCGCTTGAATAATGGTTTGAAGTGGATTATGATTCGTAAAAGTGATGTGATTTTGTGAATTAAGTGTCCGCGCGTGTGAGCTATTAGAGACAACGACGAAACAAGTGCTTTGATGTCGATTTAAACCTCAAGTTATTTTAATCGCTTGGGCGGCTTATGAGCTTGAGTGGCTGTCATCATCAACTGTCCGCAAGGTTGAGCTATCGTCAAAATCTCTCAAGGACTTCGCAATATGACGCATCAGCATATTGTGAAGAAAAAGAACATAAAATGAAGATTCCAGAAGATAGGATAGGCTCAGAAGGTCTAGAAACCAGAGCCGTAAAGCCAGTTAATAAAAAAATATAGGTATGCTATGGAAATAACTAAAATAAACTAATCTAGGTATTAGGTAATAATAAAGCTGTTACCACAGGTAAGGTCTTTAATCTTTTTTACAACATATACTGCAGAACCACAGATAATCTGTGTGCAGAACTAAGTTTTCTAGCTAGTTTAGATATATGAGGGCAGTAGTTAGGTAGTACCACTTCTGGCTCACTGAGTCAGAAGTGGTACAACGAATCTGCATCATCCTACGCAAAATCATCCGTTTTTGCGTAGGTTGCACGGTTCCGGAGATGTGCAGATCAATTAACTCTTATCTAATTGATATCCGGTGAGGGCCTCCACCGTCATTAGCGCCCCATTGTTCTTATCTATTTATCTATTGTTTATTGAATACCGTCATTGTCTATTTTTCCTCGGCGTATGCGTCGGCTTATCAGTGCTATTGTATTATACTTCTTTGTTCCTATCTACAACGGTAATCTGAATCATCAATAAAACACATTACCTAATTTTGTTACAATTTTTATTTACAAAATACAAAATATTATTACTTATTGTCTATAAAATAGGAGCGAAACATCTCATGCACTAAAATATCATTGTACAATGTGTTCCCTTTAAATATACTCGTAAAACATCCCTGAAACTTATATAGCAAATACATTAAGCAATATTCGCCACAAACTGAAGTCCACTCATTCTGAATCCTATCAACATTCCAGTTCCATCTTTTAGAATTCCTTTTTAAAAACTCTACGTTGTACGTGGGTATACATGGGCAGTCTATTAGCAGCATAAACAATATTTTCTAGACTGGGCTGAATCTTTTTCAGATGTTGTTGTACATCTAGTGTATCCATGATATTACTGCTATTAGTAGATTATTACAATACCAATCTACTCAATGACTAACATAGGAATGATCAATTATAGTGATATCTAAATATTAAATTGCATTCTTTTGTATTATACAAATCGTATTTGAGTCATCAATACACTGAACAAGACGCAACACGAAGGAATGTTGAGATAAGCAACACAATGAAGATAAGCTTGTTGACGCATAAGGTTACTTGTACTATCAGTTCCACTGCAGAAATTCTTTAGATTAGAATTATTACTTACTGGTACTATATAAGATCGAGCAGCTGCAGTCATGGAGTTATTGTATGGTCGTTTGACCGCAGTGTATCTATCAATACTACATTTGTGTTACTTCAACGCATCAAAGGCCATGGATGTAAGTTTTTATTCTATTGACAAACTTACTTTTCTTTCTGTTATTTTTTTACGTGTGTATGATTTAGTGTTAACAAATTATATTTAAATATTATGTGTGTATATGATTAAGCCGTGGTTGCTCAGATGGTTAGCGCAAGCTGTAAATTTCACAGTACGCGACCCGGGTTCGATCCCCGCCGGCACCAATTAAATTGTTAATTGCAATTTTAAGTGCTAATTTACCACGTGCTCAGCGGTGAAGGAAAACATCGTGAGGAAACCTGCATGTCTGAGAAAATTTCAAAGGCATGTGAAGTTCGCCAAACACGCATTGAGGCAGCGCGGCGGACATTTCCTAGCCCTAAATACAAAGCAAACAGTGAAAAAGTTAAAAAAATACTTTTTGGACAATGACAGTCAATTAGTTGATCATTAGTGAATGTGATTCTGTTTACTTAAATTACAGGAAGACAAGAGCAGAAGGAAGAGATGGGATGATGGGAAGTAATGAAGCATTGTTATGTGAAGTTTGTTGGAACAAACATATTTTTAGTCACGTGTCAGTAGTCACTTTTAACTTTTTGGTTCAAAATGACACAAAATCTAAAAAATATTAAATACATCATCGATATGGACGGATTTTACATTACATATCCTCATAAACATTTTCAATGTAGAGAAATGGCTATTCTAGACGTAAAACTATCTAATAAAAATTATGCGTGCGTTTATCGATCATTATTTGTTTCGGAGTAGACCCCGTTGATCGTAACGCAAGCACTAGAGTCCCCATAAAGAGACTCCAATGCCTGTATCAAGCCAGCGCTCAACCCAAATGAGTTCAGTGTTTGCCATAGCACATCCCTATCCACTCTGTCATAGGCATTTTCTAAATCCATGAACGCACAAAAAATCTTTTGGTTTTTGGCCAAAAACTTCTCCGCGATCATGCGCATGGAAAAGACTTGATCTGTACACCCCATTCCCTTTCTAAATCCCGCTTGCACATCCCAAATTTTTCCTTCAGTTTCTTTCATGACCCTTTCAATCAGTACCTTAGCATACAATTTTCCCACAATGCTAAGAAGGCTGATGCCACGGTAGTTTTTACAGTCCTGCTGCGACCCTTTTCCTTTATATACTGGGACTATCACGGCTTTGCACCAGTCTACCGGTACCCGCTTTAGTTCCCAACATAAATTAAACAAAGTTATCGTTTCAATTATTTGTCGCCAAAAGACAAAAAAACTGTTGGTTATTGCGAAAAACACGTGCACGGAATTCCATATTTTGACGTGACCGAAGAATTAAAATGTGCCTACAAACAAAAAACATCATTCCCATATTAAATTGGTACATTAGAAATTTTTATAAATGATGAAATGTTGCAGAAAAACAATTTTTAAAAATGTTGACGACGAATGATAGAATTTTTAATATTGAAGAATACAAATGTCCAAAATACAATGATTTGGTAAATGTCATAAATTTATGTGTGTAATAATCATATATTTGCAAAAAATAATCACAAAATTTTACATTGTTCTTGTAATGAAGTGTGGGATTTTTACAAGTGGTTATTGCTTGAAAATAAAATTTTAAATTAATCATAAATTTTGTTTGATTTCCCAAAAACATTAGTTATAGTACACAATATATATTAATTGTTTAACTTTCATTTATTATTTCACCCCTTAGAACTTTAGACGTGTGTAATGTTTCACTTTACATATCCGTTTACTGCTATTGTGATAGGACCAAGTGGATATGGGAAGTCAAATTTTGTAACAAATTTCATAAAATCAGTAGCAGAAATATGTAATTGTAATTTTAATCAGATCACATGGTGCTTTGATGAAATGCAACCTTTATATATTTTCCAAATGTAAACTATCATCAAGGAATTCCAAATCTTAATATGTTTGATGGTGAAAGCCCACACCTTGTTATTATTGATGATCTAATGAGAGAGTCCGATGTAACTTTAAACT